TAATCAACGACAGCAAATACGGCTTCGCCACCTGTGGTAGCACATGCGCTGTCCTCTTCGCTCGGCAAAGGCCCCGATGAGCATGCCGATATGGGCAAGCACACCATCGCTGGGCGGCTGCTGCCGCACGAGGGCGAACTTGGGCCCAACCACATCCGGGCCGCCACGCCTTCAACAACAGACTGGCTGTGGTGTCCGCCCCCGCCGTCACGGCTGCGATGACGTCGAGCCCCATCAAGCTGTCGGGCGACGCAAGCCTCGTGCTCGACACGGTCAAGCGTGGCGAGGACGATGAGGACCTGGCCCACGGCGACCAGGATGTCGGCGGCCACCTACAGAAGCGCAAGGGCAAGAGCGTCGTGCTGCGCGTCTACGACTCGATGGGCGGACGCGGCCGCGGTACCATCAAATCGAGCTGGGACATCAAGCGCGCCTTCAAGTGCAACTTGCTGGAGGACGACTTGGAGGAGCTCGAGGTGCGCGACAACTCAGAGATTGACATTGAGCTGCGGTCCTTTGAGGTGGCATCGTTCCGTCTCCAGCTCTAGGAGGATGACATGTGTGGCTGCGATGAGCCTGATACTGCTGGAGGTGTGAGTTATATCGGGTGAGCGGGTACGCCGGGATGGACACCTATGAAGTACGGTCACGAAAACATTGCCTCGCTACCTTGGTTCCCTCGTACTCTGCCCGAGTTGCCCGTTGATTTGGAGGAGGACTATCACGATGCGAACGCAAAGCAAAGCCTAATGTATGAGTATGAGGGGAAACGGAACGAAGAATGAACCTGAAGAGATTCCTTTTTTTATATTTTCGCAAAAGTGCTTCATATCTCGTGACGTGACGACGAACATGGGATTTTCTTCTGGATCGTCAGCAACCGGGGTACTTCTACGCCGCTCGGTCGGAGTGTGCGTTCATCAGCCCATACCCTAGATGGCAAGGGCCAGCGATGACACGATGGTGTTACAGTGGGGTTTTCCATCCCCAACACTACAGACAAAAAGGCTACAGACGGCAATGTGAAGAGAGACGGAGAGAGAGAGAGAGAGAAGAAGACCAAGAAACAAGGAGAAACACGTGCTTTACCCCTCGCCGTCCCCGGGCAGCTCGTCAATGACCTTCTCCACCATGTCGATGAGCTCGTCAATGTCAGGCCTCTCGGCAGGCTCGACGGTCAGACACCTCCTCACAACGTTGCGTATGGACTCGCTAATGACGACGTTGCCACTGCCACAGACCAGCGGCGGACTCACCGCCAGCAGCGGCGGCGGCGGCGGGGGCCGCAACCTGGGCCCTCATGGCGCCGGTGGCGGTGCCGCGGACGCCCTCGTCGGGAAAGCGCCAGTCGCCGTTGAAGGACCACAGCGACAGGCTGCCGCCCGTCTCGTCGGAGCGGGCCTCAAAGGGGGACTTGCCGACGAGGCAGGCGTAGAGGGTGCAGCCCATGGACCAGATGTCGACCTTTGTGTCGATGACGGCGCCGGTCTGGACGTCGAAGAGCTCGGGGGCGCGGTAGGGCATGGTCGAGTGCTCGGCGGCCGTGTCCTGGGTCTGCAGGGCCAGGGACGGCGACGTGATGGGCAGCGGGCTCGCGGCGAGGGAGCCGAGGTCCATGAGGATGGGCGCGTTGCCCGAGTCGGTGATCATAATCTTGCCGGGCTTGATGTCGCGGAGGGCGTACGACGAGGGCGGCCCGCCGCCGCCGGGCTGCGAAAAAGGCGTGCGTGGCCGGGGCCATGAGGGGCGCTTCCTG